GCCCCACGCCTGCAGCAGTGCTGGGCCGGCTGGGCCCCCGGAAGCGCTGGCGGGAAGGGGCTGCCGCGGCTCAGCGGCTCCTGCCGCCCCCACACGACGAAGGAGGTGCGGCTGCAGAGCGGGGCCTCCTGTGTCTGGGGGGCCGGGCCTGGGGGGGGGCAGGGGTCGCCCAGCACAAGTGCTGGGCGGTCCTGGTCTGCAGGGCACCAGGCAGGCGCAGCTGACCGGGACGCATCTCTGCTGCCTGGGGTGATGCAGGGGCCCCTCAGTGGGGGGGAACGCTTGGCCCTCCAGGGGAGTCGCCTCTGCACGACGGCTGGGGCTGGGGGGCATCGCGGTCCAGCGTTGCCCACCCGCCCCAGAAACTCACAGTGCACCCCCGCTGCCCGGCCCTCGCTGCCGCAGCACCGGAGTCGCGATGCTGGGCCGTGGCCAAGGTCTAATTTGGCGCGCCTCTTTGTTTATAGCGCTGGGCGCAGGTGCCCCCTCCCTCTTCATGTGAAAAGTATGTTTGCCCCTCCGATAATTTTCCATTTCACGGCCCAAGCGCTGCGGCCAAGTCTCCGGATTAGGACGGGGCAGGAAATGGGCCGTGACGAACGCGCACGGCTGGGCAGCGACCCGCCTGCGCTGGCGTGGGCTTGGCTGCCCTTCCGCTCGCCCCGCGCCAAGGGGCCCTTCTCGGCCCGTCCCACCTGGAGCAGGAGGGTGGCACCCCCGGGGCGGTCGCGCGGGCCCCGAGCCGCAGGGGAAGGAGGCCAGGGACAGCCCTCACCTGTGGCCCTCCAGGCCGGCTGCCGGCTGCCCCCCGTCGCCCGTCCTGCCAGGGGGGCCCCCCGCACGGGCTGCAGGTGTGTAGCCATCCACCCTGCGGGACCCCTGCCCCCTGCTGGTGCCACCGAGACGAGCAAGAGCAAAGCCATGGAAGAGCTCTGCCTGTTGAATGGCTGCCCGATGGGCCGTTGAGAAAGGTGCGCCATCCTGTGGCAGCCTCAGCCCTCTGCCTGGGGGCCCATGCGCTCCCTCCCATACCCATGGCCTCGGTGGCACTGCGGCTTGGCAGCACCTGCAGCCCGTCAGCCCAGCAGGGAAGGCGATTAGCGCTATAATTAGCCCCGGCTGCGGCGGCCTCGGCACCGCAGTTGTCCCGGTTTCCGGCCCCGAGATCAGGGGTGGCGGGCGGCACCGAAAGGGCAGCGCGATGCGGCTCGTCCACGGCAGCCGCTCCCGCCAGGGCGCAGGGGTCGCGCTGCACGGCGCAGGGCCGGGGGGCCCTGGCCCGGGGGGCCCTTTCCCCGCAGGTGTGCGAAGCAGCGCACGGCCAGGTGGGGCAGCTCGGGGCGAGCAGCAGCGCGCCCGGCCGCTCCCAGCCCCCTCGCGCCCGCCGGGCCCCCTGGGCCAGGAGGAGGCGGCGGCCGCGAAGCCACGCGGCCTCCTGACCTGCAGCAGCGGCCGCACCTGGCCTGGAGGGCGGGGCCGGGCCCAGGTGCGCCGGGGGCGGGTCCTGAGCAAGCGAGGGCGTGGCCGGAGCAGGGAGTGGCGCGCGGCCGCTCGGCGTGGGGGGGGCGGCGGCGGCGCGGGGGGGCCGGGGCGCGCCCTGCCTCGGGTTCAGGCCCGGCTGGGGCGGAGCGTAAGTGCCAGGAGGGCGCGGGGGGGGGGCAACTGGAAGGCCGGAGAGATTGCGGCAGCAGCCGGGGAGGGATGGCTCCCCGGGGCATGGGCAAAGTGCTCTGGTTCGGTTTGCTACCGGGAGAAAGAGGCGGGGCCGTGGCTTTGTTATGCGGCCAAAGCAGGCAGGGAAAGGACGCGGGGGCGCGCCTGGCGGGGGGGGAGGAAGCAGGAGGGGAGGCGGCGGCCCCCCCGCGCGGGGCGCCCCTTGAGCGCGCCCCCCGCCCCCGCGGAGCGCGCAGAAGCAGCGCCCACTCCCGAAGGGGAGAGAAGGCGCCTCGCGCCCCCTGGAGGCGATGCGCAGAAAGGCAGGAACGGAGACGCGGCTTGTCTCCTCGGGTCTGGGCGGCGGGGAAGTGGGGCCGAGTGGTTCCTTCAGGTGGGCCGAGAGGCCTGTTCCCGCTCTAGGCCCACTGGCGCCCCCGAAGCCCCGCTGCGCGGCGGCAAGCGAGGGACGGCCCTGCAGGGCGCCTGCACCGCAGTCCTGCGACGGACTCGAAAGCCTTGCAGGGAAACGCTCAGCAGCAAACATCCTGGCAGAAATATCAGTGGGGCGGGTGGAAGGAGGGAGCCCTCTGGGGCGGAGGGGCAGAGCTGGCTGTCATCAGCGTGAAAACCCCGGGACCCCACGGCCAAAGCGCAGGGGGACACGCGGCACCCCGGAAGGCCCACGCTCGGCCCCGCCAGCCCCTCCGCTCGGCCCGGGCCCACCTGCTGCGCTTCCTGCCCCACTCTGCAGCTCAGATCGCCTCCGGTGTTTCGCTGTCGGTAGCCTAGCAGCTACGAACAGATGCCGTGCCAATTTGCCGTCCTCGGTTTCAACTGCCTCCTTGAGTCACCTGGGTCACCTGGCACGGTGCCTTCCCCACAGTGATTGCTCCTCACCAGCTCCCAGAACGACGGTGACCCCGGACGATCCGGCGCCCGGAGATGGGCGGAAGACGGCATGGCTGGCGCGGGGCCTGGCCTCTGGGCGGCCCCAAGGAGAGGCGCTTGGCGGGCGAACACTCGGCGCGCCGCCCCCCCCAGAAACCTTCGCCGCGTCCTCAGGAACAGCGGAAGGGCCACCCGCCTGAAGCCCTGCGGGCCCCGCGGGCCCCGGCGGGCCCAGCCCAGCGCAAGGCAGCGCCGTGTGGCCCCAGCGGGCCCCGCTTTGCGCAGTGCCCTTCCCCTGCCAGGTGCGCCAGTCCCACAGGCAGGTGTTCCCGACAGTGAGGACAAAGCCTCGCAGTTTTCCTTTGACGACGACAAGAGCCGGTTGCAAAGCTCCGGAACAGAGGCCTTCCCCTTGCTTCTGAAATGTTGTTTAAATGTTCCTTTAGCATTAGCTGTTCTCAGAAATTACTCACTGAAAATGTTCGCTTTGGTTTGTGTGCTTTTGACACGCGAGGCAATTAGACCAAGGACTTCCATGGATGGATACAAAATGAGTCATCAGCAGGGCCAGCCATTATCCTGCAGGATACCCACCCATCTCATCTTCAGGCATAATTAGTTTTTTTAGGGGAAAAAGGCTGAATGAAGCAGAACCATTAAGGTGCCGCTGCGGACATCTCGCAAATGGTTTTTCATTTTGATTCCCAATTAACCTGTGGGTTTGGTCTTTTTCATACATTCACAGATTTGTAGGGGATTGGATAGAAAAGCTTTGGTAAATAATGTAGCAAAAAGCGGGCTTGACATAACTGCTATTTAGTGGACCCACAACGGGCTACAAAATGGGTCACGTTACATGTATTTATTTTTTACTTCCATTTATATGCCACCTACTACTGAAGTCTCACCAACGGCACCTTTACAATAATGTTGTGGGTCACTCTTTTGAATGCTTTCCGAAAGGATCGATGAAGTATGGCCCTGGCATTCCCGCTGTTCATTTGCATGGTCATGCAGTGATTTTGCAGCAATGGAATAAGGTAAGTTATGGCCTGTCAGGAAAGTGACTGGCCGAAGGTGCTTCGGAGTGGACGATCTCTCTCCCGTGGCAGCCTTAAAAAACCCCAAGCCACACGTGGTGTTCAGTTGTGTCTCCCTGAATCTGCCCGCCTACCTGCACGTTTGCAATGAGTGCCGAAAAGAATCGCAGCTAGAATGGAAAGCAGGCTGGCCGGTTCCTGCTGTGAGGGCAGAAGGCGCCTGATTTAAAAGGCTGGCTTAGCTTCTGGTGTTGCCGTGTGGTGCGCAGCTCTCTTCGGTTTTCATAGGTGACCCTTAAGCCCCAGCCCCCCCAGCGCAGATTGCGGACTTGCTTTCGGTTGCTCTCATTTCCCTGGGAAGTGCCAGAGTTTTGACACTGATTTGCCCGCTTGGAGCAAAGAAGTGTCACGGCATTTCTTCGGCATCCCTAGTGCGGTGAGTCTCGATGCAGTGAGGGGCTGGATCAGGGCCACCCGGAGTCAGGCCGAGATGGCGGCTCCGTCGGCCGGTGCTTCCTGGGCCCAGGCGTTGTGGCGTTACCTGTTCTGGCTGGGCTGTAGCTCCACCTGGAGCGGATGCACAGAGCGCAGCTGTGCCCTTTCTGTGGGGCACCTGAGGTTTGGGATGCCCTTCCAAGGAAGTTGCACCAGCCACTGGAACTGTATTCCTTCCTGTTGCTTATTTTCCCCTTAAACCATTTCATTTTTACTGGCTGATCAGTTGTATTTGTCTCAGCTTCCTTGTATTACTGGGTTAATGTTTTAGGTTTTCCCAGTGTATGTTTATGCCTTGGAATCTATTGTGGGATGATGTCACCAGTCATAATTAATTACAATAAGTAACAGGTAATACAGATTATATTTGCCATTGGATGTAGAATGGAATATAGTATTTGTTTGCTGACACATTCACTGTTATTGAAACTGTTAAGAGAATTTGGCATTTGCAATCCCAAACTTGCCCTCCTCTGAAAGGTAACTGGGCAGGGACTCCCACGCTTTGGAATGTGGTACAGCCCTAGCATGCTGGGAGCTGTAGGCCCCTTTCCCTTGTCCAGGACTGTCGTCAGGCGGGGCCAAACCTTTCCTTCGGTGGCGGCGGAGGAGCCGCGCCGGGAGCGGGCGTGCAGGCGCGGGCAGGAGGCGGCGAGCCCGCGCAGGTGCGGCCGGGGGGGCCTGGGGGCGGCCCGCGAGGCGCCCCAGTGCCGCAGCGGGGCCGCAGG